TGAAGGATGTACTTTTGGCATGTAGGCAGTACCATGAAGAGAGAGAAAAGATTAAGAGGGTAACAAAGTCTTTTAATTTAAGCAACCTGTTGAAACTACCAGGAACACAGTCTACAATAAAAGCAGTGATAGAATTTCTTTAAAAAACACAGTTAGCAAGAAGAATTTAGTCCGTCTAACCGAGAGGCTTGGCACTTCCTATTAGCCCCATTGTGTATCATCCTGGTTGCAGTTCCATTAGAATTCCACTGGAGGTGATCGCGGGGGAGAGCAGAATGAATGGGAGTCTATGGGGCTAAACGGCTAAAAGTGTCTCTTTCACCTGCTTGTCGTTAAATTAACATAGATTTTATTGTTGATTCAATATAGATTATAGGCCAAAAGTCGAATGAACTAGTACTTATGTCCTTTTGATTTCTTACAGGTTAGGCCGTTGTTGGCCAGAACACGCTAGCATTCTGCTATTGTGTGACGTCATCACATTTTTGAACGGATTTTAAGAACAGATAAGTGAACTTAAAAATGTAATTTTCAGCTGAGTGTATTATCTTAACCCTCCCTTTTGAATGCAACTTTCAAATTACTTGACAAAAAATTACATCCTGAGAAAAGGGGATTTATGGTGGTGAAACCCCATTGACTCCCATTCATTCTGCACTCGACCACGAGCGCCCCCGCATGGACAGAGACGCGTTACTGCAGCCAGTCCAGAACCAATTCTCTTCAATTAGACATTCCCTGGTTATACACAATTTAAATAAGTATAAAAAAGGGGTATTGTACGCTTCTACTGCCAACAGTTCTGCACCTTTCTCACACTGTATATCCTGGGCACAATGACCATCTGATACTGCACTGTTATGTTCCTATTGTAATATTGGAGGTTTATAACTGCCCATATTGGTTGGATATGTGTGGGCTGATTGTATTGTCACAATTCTTCAGCATAGTGTAGAGTGTAATGTATATATTCTTCCTATACTGTAATACAACATATTTAGGTTGATCACCGTCTGAATCCTCTTCAGCTTTTTTGGCAATATACAATATATCTCGTACAATTAAATAATTGTTTACCTTTCTTCAAAACGGGGTGTTACTTAACACAAATCATTGGTATAAACGAGTATTGCTCTTTTTTGAGTTAGTGGGTGGCTCTTAAAAGAGCCGTTGAGGAACAATAACGGGACTTTATTTCTTTTTAGGCGCTGCCTTTTTAGGCTTGGCGGCTTTAGGTTTTGCGGCTTTGGGTTTAGCAGTCTTTGCCTTTTTAGGGCTCTTAGCTGCTTTCTTAGCGACTGCTGGCTTCTTTGCCTTCTTGGGGCTCTTCGTCGCCTTCTTAGCGGCCTTGGCTGCGGGCTTCTTGGCCTTCTTGGGCGATTTCTTGGCGGCGGGCTTCTTTGCTGCTGCGCTCTTGGGCTTCTTGGCAGCAACGGTTTTCTTGGCCGCGGGCTTCTTCGCTTTAGGAGCTGCTTTCTTGACCGCTTTCTTCTTGGTCTCGGCTTGCTGCTTGTTGAGCTTGAATGAGCCCGAGGCGCCGGTCCCTTTGACCTGCACTAGAGTGCCTTTAGTCACCAGGCTCTTGATGGCGATCTTGACGCGGGAGTTGTTCTTCTCCACGTCGTAGCCGCCGGCAGCGAGCGCTTTCTTCAGCGCGGCGAGGGACACGCCGCTCCTCTCCTTGGATGCGGACACTGCTTTGACGATGAGCTCGCCGACGCCTGGCCCTGCTTTCTTGGGTTTCGCAGCGGACTTCTTCTTGGGTGCTTTGGCCGGGGCGGCAGCAGCGGGTGCGGGAGCAGTTTCTGCCATTTCTCTCTGTTCGGATTTACAGTCTTTCAATCTCTGTCTCTAGTTTCATCAATGAATGGCGCTGTCGCGGCGCTGCCCTTTTAAAAAACACATGAGAACTTTATAGACTCAACCTGCCCGCTCAGCGTTTGTGTGCGTCAACGAGCCCCTTCACGCGTGTGTTTTCTTCCCTTATATTTGGTTAAAAACTGGAGTGGTAAAATAGTTTGGTTCAGTCAAAACAAATTGAACTCCAAGCAGAGGTTCTGAGCTTTCACCGGAGACTAAAATACCAAATGATGAAATGTTTATTTTGCCTTTGTCAGATCAAATCCGAGGAGAGCTTCAGTCACGGGGAAAAGCAGCGCGTAAATTTGATGGATATTTTAAGTGGAAAGGTTGATAAAAGTCTGGCCCCGTCATCTGTGTGTTCAGTTAACAGTCTGAAATAGATTTTTATGAAATCAGCATCAGCGAGGGGCGTGAGGAGGCTTTCATACAGATGTTTTTTGGGGCAGCTTGAAGCACACGAGCATCATCAGTCTCTCTGTGAATCTCATGTCTGGCCAGCAGATCTGTCCTTAAAATAATAATTATTTGTATTAATATTAATAATAAATATAATTTCCATAAGATGTAAATCATATCACCTAACAAAAATGCAAATCATCACATTTGTTTATCCTTATTTGTTATTTATCTCAGTTTCCATAATGTGAATGAGGATCGTGTAAAAGCTCATCTGAATGAGCCGCTCATTTTAAGCAAGGCAGAGCAAGTGACTCAAAAAAAACAACAACTGCGTTTCCCCCAGTTTCATATTCCCCTTGTTTTATAGCTTTTCTGAACAATGTTTGAAACTTTGTATTGCAAGCATTCCTTATGCAATGGTAGTTTGTATTTCTCCAAAGATGGCTTTGGATAAAATCATCTGCTAAGTTAGACAAAGAACAGGTCACTAAATGAAAGTTTGTTATATATTGATTTAACCACCACTGAATGCTAATTCATAAAATAGTCATATAATTTGCACTATATGTTTGATATATTTGCATACATCAACTTTATTAAGGAAGAAGGGTCATATTTATACAAGATAAAGCAGAATTATCCACAATGCAGGCCATACAATCATAGTACTGAAAGATCAACCCCATACGGAATATTAATATAATCTTAATTGAGTTCGGGTGTACGAGTGTGTCCAAGTTATTGTTCTTGTTCTGTGTGTCCATGATGTGCACATAACACAACATAAAGAAGGTAGGCCTACATCAGGGCAGTCTTAAACGAGAATAATCAAAAGTGGAGCCTAAGAAGAAAATATTATAATTTTATACTTTTGTTCTTGTGAAAAGAAATGGGGTTCAGTAATGGCAGCGGAGAAAGATGTGAGAAAAGCAAGGAGGTAATCCATCAGCCGGAAGTTGAAGCCTCGCGGGACCCACCATTGTAGCCTAACAGAACTTCACCTGCTGTTAGCATTCCATTGACTCCCATTCATTTTGGCGTCACTTTGACAGCAAATAACTTTAAATCTGAGGCGTCCAAAGACTCCATTTGTCGTGTTTCTTTAGAAATAAATAATGGGCAATGTATAAAAGGCTCCATTACCTTGTATCTTACGTTATGGCCCAGTAGAAGCAGTTTTTGTAAAAAAAAAAAAAAAAAAAGGCTTACGATTGTATCATAAAGAATCGACTCTTGCTCTATTGTGTGGAGTGAGTAATGCCAGAGCCATAGACAGTAAAAGAAATGGACAGAGCGATCTCATTGGAACTCCATTGAGACGATTGAAGCCTGTTTTTGGCGATTTTTTAGCACTTCCGTCACTGACGCGCAGACTCAAACAGAGCTTGACTACGTAGTGGGACGTGAGTGACCCGTCTGTCTTCTAGTGCTGTGGCATGAGAAATCTGAATCATTCCCTTCCGAAACATGCTGAGGCGGAGAGTGTGAGTAGGAGCTGTCCATGAGCTAGGAGAAGGAGACAATTTTGCTAGGTTTTCTGATTAATTATTTTGTCATTTTGCCTCCACGTTTCCCCGATTGCGCGCAAGCTTCTTCTCATGTCCATATGGTAATCTCTCTACTGTGCAACAGAGAGTCGCGTGGGTATGATGCAATCGTTAGCCTACTTTCACTAAAACTGCTTCTACGGGGCCATAACATAAGCTACAAGGTAATGGAGCTATTTATACATTGTCGTGTTTCTTATAGAAATAAATAAAGGACAAATGGGGTTTTCAAACATCTCAGATGTAAAGTTATTCGCTGTCAAAGTGACGCCAAAATGAATGGGAGTCAATGGGAATGCTAACGCAAGTGAAGTTCTGCTACAAGATGGCAGCTCCCACGAGGCTTCAATTTCTGGTCGATGGATTACCCCCTTGGTCATAGCCCGTCTAACGGAGAGCCGTGGCACATCCTATTAGCCCTATTGTGTATCATCTTGGTTGCAGTTCCATTAGAATTCCACTGGAGGTGATCGCGGGCGAGCGCAGAGTCAATGGGGCTAAACGGCTAAATGTGTCTCTTTCACCTGCTTGTCGTTAAATCAACATAGATTTTATTGTTGATTCCGCAAGTTCAATATAGATAATAGGCAAAAAATCGAATGAACGACTACTTATGTCCTTTCGATGTCTTACAGGTTAGGTTGTTGTTGGCCGGAACACGCTAGCATTCTGCTATTGTGTGACGTCATCACATTTTTGAACGGATTTTTAGAACAGATAAGCGAACTTAAAAATGCAATTTTCAGCTGAGTGTATTATCTTAGCCCTCCCTTTTGAATGCAACTTTTAAATTACTTGACAAGAAATTACATACTGAGAAAAGGATTTCTGGGGGTGAAACCCCATTGACTCCCATTCAATGTGCACTCGACCGCGAGCGCCCCCGCATGTACACAGACGTGTTACTGCAGCCAGTCCAGAAACCGGAATGCTGGCTTAAAACCTCTTCTTCTTTCTTGTTTTACGATGATGCATTACCGCCATCTGCCATCTTAGGCAGAGAGTGAACCAACTCTATGGTAAAGCTAAAAGCGATTCCTCCTTCAAAATATTTACTTACGTATCGCCTTGCTATCACCTACACATCCCAGCATAAAGTGAATCAGTGATTAGGTTCATAAACCATATTTGAATTGGCAGGGCGTAATTTAGCAAGACAGATCGAATTATAAACTGTCTATTACCCTCAAATAAACTAAACTTCATCTTTAACCAACCGAGTTTAGGCTACTTTTGTTTGTGTGGAAAAGATAGCTTTCTGCGTTTATATCAACGGATTCACCGAAACTCAAGATTAGAACTTAAGATAATACACGGAAGCTCTTAATCTGAGAAGATGGGTGGCTCTTAAAAGAGCCGTTGGAGTAGTTGAAGTCGGTCACGCCTCACTTTGAGCTGGTGTATTTGGTGACGGCCTTTGTTCCCTCGGACACGGCGTGTTTGGCCAGCTCTCCGGGCAGCAACAGGCGCACGGCGGTCTGGATCTCTCTGGAAGTGATGGTGGAGCGCTTGTTGTAGTGCGCGAGGCGAGATGACTCACCGGCTAGTGATGGCCGGTTCGTGAACGAATCGTTCTTTTGAACCGGTTCTTTTTAGTGAACCGGTCGAACCAGTACACTAAATCGGACTGAATCGTTCGAAACAGTTCGCGTCTTGCGTCAGCGCTAAACCACAAGTTACTAAAGTTACTCACTTTCAGACATGCCTGACAGTCCCTCCGAATCGAAATAAACCAATATCCATTAGTACATTTTATTCAGTAACTCAAAAAGTTCACTGAACGGAGACATATGTTGGTGCTGAGAGAAGCGATGAGCACGAGCAGCTGATACTGCGCATGCGTGTACTACCGAACATACAGGTACAGCGGTCGGATAACCAGTACAGAACCGAGAAGAACTGTTTCTTTCGGACACGTTCGACATATTGAGAACTGATGAGTCGATGAGCTGAGCATGCGTGCATTTTTTTTTCTGAGGGACGAAATGTACGTTTCCATGTCTTTAGTTGAACATATCAGTAAGTGTAACAAAATAAAACATTTTGGAAACATGTTTATCACATTACTGTATCACTGTATTATTTTAACGATTGGAAATAATGATTGGATTCTAAAACTGTTTAACTACTAAACATTTATTATACTAAAATAATATTTTCAGGAACAGCTCATTTAATTTCTAAGTAACAATATAAATCATTGATGTAAACTCTTGCCAAGGTTTGGTGCACTGCTTAGTAAATAATGTGTTAACACATTATAAACATGATGTATACTGTATAGGCTACAGAAGGCTATATTGGAGACAGACATGCATCGATTTTTTAGTTTTGTCGACTGTATATTCAGGTTTCAGCTCAGCACACAGCTATGGTTCTCGAGTCGAGAACTGGTTGTTGCAGTTCTTGAATCACTAGTACAGAACCGAGAACTGTTTCTTTCGGACACGTTCGATACGGAGAACCGATGAGCTGGAGATACTGCGCATGCGTGATAGCACCGTCTCTGAACAGAACTTTCTTTCGGCCGGCTGATCCTGTGCTGATACATGAGAACGCAGTAGTACGGGTGAACCCAGGACTTAAATGAGAGGGCGAATCGGCGAAATGTAAGTTTATTTAATAACAAATAAAATGATGAAGACCATTTATGCATTTTATATATTTAAAACATGTAAAACATCCGCGTTAGCACATCGCCTAGGCTGCAGCAGGGTTCGTTTTCAAAATGTAAATGTAAGAAACTTATCCAAGATGATTATGACAATGCATACTATTATTTAACTGAAGTTGTGATTACAAATGCCTTTAATTTGAAGTATTTTTATCCGCCGGGATGATAGAATTGACGTCATTACGTGATGACGTAAAAGAACTGGTGAACCGGTTTTTTGAACCGGTTCATTAAAACGAACTGTCCGAAAGAACCGGTTCGCGGAAAAGAACCGGACTTCCCATCACTATCACCGGCGATGCGCTCGAAGATGTCGTTGACGAAAGAGTTCATGATGCCCATCGCCTTGGAGGAGATGCCGGTATCGGGATGGACCTGCTTCAGCACTTTGTAGACATAGATGGCGTAGCTCTCCTTCCTGGACTTTCTGCGCTTCTTTCCACCCTTACCGGCGGTCTTGGTGACGGCCTTCTTTGAGCCTTTCTTGGGCGCGGACTTTGCTGGTTCAGGCATGGTGATGATGCAATATCACAAATTTGACAACGAGTTAATGTATGTTTCAAAGCGATACAGAGGGTTTTATTCACTACCTTATGCTAATTTTCTAAGTGTTACGGACTTATGTGATTGTCTGTTTTCATAGACCAAACCCACAAACTCACAATTCATTGGACAAATTAAGAGGAACAAGGGCCAATCACAGGTGTGGATAAATTATAGTTCCGCCCACCGTCTCATGTTTGAACTGTACTTCCACCGATTATCTTTTTGTTTCGTTTTTTATAAAGTAATATTTTTTGAGGATAACGAGCGGTTCTAAAACTGTGCATGATCGTGTAATATTAAAACGTCTTACAAACCCTTCGAGCGAGTTTGGGAGAAAAGAGACCAATAATGGTCTAATACACTTTAAAAACGTCATTGGTTAGATGTTTAAAAACCGGAATATCTTTGCATTCTCATTTCTGCCAACTGGTACCATTTGATCGAATTACTAGTATTTCCTTGATCTTGTGAAAAAGCGTGCGTGAAATGGGTTAACGTTTAATTGGGGGTATTTTTTTAAAAGTAGAAAAGCACCGATATTCTCGATGCATCACTGTGTGCAACATTACTTAAATTAACTGTATTCTGGATTGAGAACACAAAGCATTTTAAGCTTAATTCTGTGATTTGACATGAACAAAACTTTTGACTCTTTAAGCGTTAGAGTGTGTGGCTCTTAAAAGAGCCTTTGGGTTTGTGTGGTTTGTCCTGGTTTCAGTCGTTTAACCCCCGAAGCCGTACAGAGTGCGTCCCTGTCTCTTCAGCGCGTACACAACATCCATGGCGGTGACGGTTTTTCTCTTGGCGTGCTCGGTGTAGGTGACGGCATCGCGGATCACGTTCTCCAGAAACACCTTCAACACTCCGCGGGTCTCTTCGTAGATCAGCCCAGAGATGCGCTTTACGCCCCCGCGGCGAGCCAGACGACGAATGGCGGGTTTAGTGATACCCTGGATGTTATCGCGCAAAACTTTACGGTGACGCTTAAGCCTAGTTCACACTACGTGATTTTAAGCCCGATTTAAGCCCGATTTGCAAATCGTTGAGTCGCCGACAAGTCAGGGTGTTATCGCGTGCAAATCGCGGGCGATTAGCGGACGATTAACGCTCGCCAATCAGTTAGTGTGAAAGAGCCAACAACGCATCAAAGACAGCTCGCAGACAGCTCGCAGACAGGTCACCGAGCTCAGAAAAATATCTAGCATGCTAGATATCTCGCGCAGTCGCGCGACTCAATCTCAGTGATGTCATGAGTACAGCCAATCATAGCAACGCATGGGTTGAGGACACCAGGTAAATCTTACTTTTTCTTTTTTGCATTTTTTTTTCTCAGAGCATATCGTCGAGCAAACAGTGTGCAGCACTAGTTTCTGTCTGACGTCCATATTCGCGTGTTGTGTTCTTCTCTGCAGTTTCGCGTCATTTCTGGTTCGTTTTATTGCGTGGTTTTTCGTTACAAAACATGGTTTCTAGACCAGATAGAATCGTGTTGTTGTCAACTCGTTATTTGTTTGATTATTTTCAGGATTTAGACCGTATTATAGTACTGAAACAGCTCTCATTGAGTCACAAATGATATGCTCTTATCATCCGATCGTGGTTGTATCTCTATGTAGTGCGTTGTTAACTCGTGTAGTGAGTTACCTCCTGTTGTGGATCAATCACGTTGTGTTGTGTGGTGTGAACAGCTAAACAACTTGAACACTCATGATTTCACTGAGAGCAAGTCATGTAGTGTGAACTGCACAGTTCAGCCCGACATTTTAAAATCATGTAGTGTGAACTAGGCATTAGCGCCTCCTTTCCCGAGTCCCTTGCCGCCTTTGCCTCTTCCAGACATGTTTAACACTGAGAGTTTCAGTCGATCAATGAACAACAAAGGTTTAGATTATAGTTGTTTGAATGTAGCTTTTTACATTTGCTTACAGGACCTGAGAGAAACCAGCACCGTGTGTAACATAACATAAACACCCCTCCCCCAAAATATAGCTAAAGCACATGTGATTTTATCCTCCTAACCCTAACCTTTGTTTCGTATTAAAATTCAGGTTTCATAAAATGTATTTCAAAAGGATCACATAAATCACTGTAGTTCTGGTTGATAATGAAAAGTGATTTTCTACAAGCTCACCAAAGTAAATGGTGAGCTTGTTCACATCTCTTTTATGTGAGACTTTGCACATGTACATTTTAAGTGTACTATATATATCAACATATATATGTATACGTGTATATATATTTCCCTTTTTAGTAATGACAATTTAGAAAAAGCAAACAATAGAACGGCTAAATTTTTTTCATACTCAAAAAGTGTATTAAAACTGCAAATCTAAAATGCAGGAATATTTTGTTAGTCTTTCACCCTCAACTTTGGCCGCAACATTTTAACCCAGTTTAACCCCATCCAAGAGTGGAAAATAATCAGCAAATCATCTATCTATCTAACGATCTATCGATCGATCGATCGATAGATAGATGTATTTTATTTTTATATTATAACAATCTTTTTCAAGCCTCCTTAAAGAGAATAAAGATTATTTATCTTGTGGTGCACATTACCTGTTATATGATACATTCATATATGATTTAAGACAATATTATCACTGTATTTTATATAAACTTTGAGGTGAAATAATTTATTATCAGGCATTATCACTCAATGAAAGTCATCACACATTAAGTTGTAATGGGATCTAAAAACCCAAGGACCAGATATGATTAATTAAGACCAGGAAGAAGAGCAGTCAATTTAAGACAACAGACAGATTTATAATAAATTAATTATTATTGTATTTCATTTATTTTTTATTTTTTTGTACTGAAGTTAGTTTGCAATTTCATCAGGCAGAAAGCAGCTTCAAGACTCACAAGGAGTTTGTTTTACCATCTCAGAAGCACTAATGTTATCTATGGCCGTATCAATTTCAAATCTTATGTCCTTTTTCTTAGACGATAGAAAAACCATAGATCGAGGAAAGAACCACTATTAATCTGGATAACTATACAAATAATCCCTGAACAAGCATGACACAGTTAAATTCCAAACATTTAATATAATAGTTGTACGGAAGCCCTGAACCGCAACCTAAAAAAAAAAAAAAAAGTCAGTAAAAAAAAAAAAATCTGTAAAAAAAAAAAAAATCTGTAAAAAAAAAAAAAAAAAAATCTAGCATTTCGAGATTAAAGTCGAAATGTTTCGAGATTAAAGTCGAAATGTTTCGAGATTAAAGTCGAAATGTTTCGAGATTAAAGTCGGAATGTTTCGAGATTAAAGTCGAAATGTTTCGAGATTAAAGTCGAAATGTTTCGAGATTAAAGTCGAAATGTTTCGAGATTAAAGTCGAAACATTGTGCATTCATAACAGTGCGCATCCACTGGCTCAGAGCACGTGTGTGTGTGTGTGTGAAGTCGAACTGCCATGGATAAACACAAAATAGTAGCTTTTTACTTTTATCTGAATTACTTATCTTACTTTATCGTTATAAAATATAATGCGCCGGAATAGACTTTAGCCTATAGGAAAACCAACATGGAAAACACTTTTCAGACTGGATGGAGAATTCCAGCTTTATGAATGAATGAATGAATGAATGAATGAATGAATGAATGAATGAATGAATGAATGAATGAATGAATGAATAGGGCATTTATAGCGCTTTCATATATGCCTACACTCAAAGTGCTTTACAATCATATCAGAGAATCTCTCCTCAACCATAAGTGGTTATTAAATCTTAGGAAATCACAGGATCCGGCCAAATGATTGGATACAGAATGATGCACTTAAAATGTATACAGAGCGGTACGTTGAAGAGGGAGACCGAACAGTTACTGTTGTTGTGTTCTCGACCCAGATAGTGTTGACTAGACGAGCACGAAAACACCTCAGAAACACTGCCACTAGCACGTGTGACGTGTGTAGATTTTGTTGAAAGCCCAGATAAAAGTAAAAAGCTACTATTTTGTGTTTATCCAATATCCATGGCAGTTCGACTTCACACACACACACCAGTGGACGCGCACTGTTATGAATGCACAATGTTTCGACTTTAATTTCGAAACATTTCGACTTTAATCTCGAAACATTTCGACTTTAATCTCGAAACATTCCGACTTTAATCTCGAAACATTTCGACTTTAATCTCGAAACATTTCGACTTTAATCTCGAAACATTCCGACTTTAATCTCGAAACATTTCGACTTTAATCTCGAAACATTTCGACTTTAATCTCGAAACATTTCGACTTTAATCTCGAAATGCTAGATTTTTTTTTTTTTACAGATTTTTTTTTTTTTACAGATTTTTTTTTTTTTAGGTTGCGGTTCAGGGCTTCCGTATTGTTGTATATAATCATATATGTTGAATTTATAGAGAATTCTCCAATAGCATCAACAAATGGATTTATTAAACCATCTATGTTCCCTAAATAAACCATACATAATTTGGTTAACATATTTGTTAACCGTTTCTATGTATTTTTACCTGGTAATCCACAAGCCCCAATGTGAGATCCATTGTGGGACATTTATTACTGTGAGCTGACTGGAGGGTAGTTAGTAGTATAGTAGTAGTATATATAGTAGTAGTAGTATATATATAGTAGTAGTATAGACCCTTTTAGAGTTGGTAAACATGGTGACGTTTTTTTGTGGGCGGAGCTTAGGTGGAGGCAGAAAGATCCATCTGGCCGCTTCACTAACGCTAGTTAGCAAGGATTGTTAGCTTGTTTTTTTAACAATGACTGGAGAAAATCCGATATTATCTTAATGTGTAAGGTCACTCAGTGTCCAGGACCGCGATTGTTATTTCCAAAAGTTATTTTTAACGGACAGAACCAGATTGGCCGACCTGTAGCCGCCTACACGCTCACTCAATGCATCGATCTGACAGGATTAACGTTACGTTACCTCGGTTGAGTGGCCTGACTTCTACACCTACCTTATAGAGAAACCGATCGTAAAGAGAAACTGAGGCATATAAATCTTTAGATGCCTATATGGTCCTGTACAAGACTTGTGTGTATGATCGGCAGTTCTGCCGAGTCAGCGCCGAGGCCACGACAATGTAAAGAGTGACATTACGGTGCTATTTTAATGATGTGAATATTTTCTAGAAATAAAAGTTCCAGATACAGCATATTCATTTTTCATCAATTCTTGCACCAAACAACACAACAAGATGACATTTAATAATAGTAACAATTATTTAAGCTCCTTATTATGTAGCCGAATCTGAGCTGTTTTGCATTGACCGCCTCCAGTTTTCACTTTGTTTTGCCTCCAGCTAGCGCCGTGACGTAACTGTGACGTCGGCGCAAAAGGGGTCTATACAATATATGTTTTGACCTAGCTGAAGTTTGTTTATCAAGAGTGCAGGGCAACCACCCAGTAGAGCATTACAATAATCTAGCCTTGATGTCATGAACGCATGAACTAATTGTTCCGCATTTGTCATTGAGAGCATATGGCGTAATTTAGATATATTTTTAAGATGGAAAAGTGCGGTCTTACAGATACTAGACACATGACTTTCAAATGAGAGATTGGTATCAAAGAGTACACCTCGTTCCTAACCGACGACGAAGATTTAACAGAGCAGCCATCAAGTGTTAGACAGTTCCCTATCGAGGGAACTCAACACTGCGTCGATAAAATCGACTCTTTGGGGACGCTCCCTAAGCATGCGCCTCTGAAGTATGAATGAAACTAATCCAATCCTGATTGGTGTTGCGTCGTGACGTAACATGTGACGGCATACCCGGAAGTATAAAAGTGACGCTGTCACAACACACACTAGCTTTCGCTCTTCAGCAAGCGCTTTATGTTGAAACTGTCTGTCTTATTTGGTGTTGTTTGTCTTATTATTGAAAGAAAGTATGGCCAGTGAACAATTCAAGAGGTGTGTGCATCCCTGCCCTCGTTTCATCACGGGTGGGGACGCACACTCTCTCTGTGTGTATTGTTTGGGAGTGCAGCACGCACGGGCAGCTCTCGAGGGGGCTGCTTGTGAAATGTGTGAGGCTTTGCCTATTAGAGTGCTGCGCTCCCGGCTGGCGTGCTTTGACGAGCACGGTCAGGCTCGCGTTCCCCAGGGTTCCGGTCCCGCATATGTCGAGGCGATGCGGCGACTGAGATCCTGGGGTTCGCAGCGGGATCTGGCGGAGGAGAGTGAGAATGCTGAGGCATTTTCTCGCTCGCCATCGGCTGGTCCCGCAGCCTCTGAGAGTGGTGTGGGAGCCCGCGCTGCGGTTTCTCCTACCCGCGATCAGGTCCCGGTGCTTGAGCTGTCTACTTCTGAGGAAGGGGACGTGCTCAGCATCGATGCGGACGACCGTGATCTCAGCACGCCATCACGCGGCCTGGGTTATGAGGAGCTGGTGGAGGTTGTGACACGCGCTGTGGCCAGACTAAACATCAGCTGGCCACAACATGAGCAGGAAACGCAAGTCACCAGTAAAATGGACGAGCGTTACCTGCAGCGCAGGTCACAGCCTCACCGCCGGGGTCTGCCGTTTTTCCCTGATCTCCATAAAGAGATCTCGAGAACGTGGGAAAGACCGCATTCGTCCCGTATTTCGAGTCCCAATGTAATAGATTACAGCAATGTTATGGGGGCTCGAGATATGGGATATGGGAAGATGCCGAAGGTGGAGGAGGCTTTAGCGAGCTATCTCTCTCCCGAATCGGCGTCTTCCCTAAAGACCCCGGTGTTGCCTAGTAAGCCCTGCAGAGAGACATCTGCATTGGTGGGCAGGGCTTACATGGCGGCGGGTCGGGCTGGTTCGTGTCTGCACTCAATGGCGATTTTGCAGGCATACCAGGCCGACCTCCTGAAAGA